AAATAGAAGGAAAGGACCCTTTACAACTTTTAATTGGAAGAACCATTCGAACTATTGGGGGTGGGAACATTTCCATCACTTTGTATATGTGATTTACGTGCCTATTTCCTCAGATTCAGAATAATGTCAGCTGGTGCTCCATTCAAAATCCAAGAAAGAAATACTTAGACTCTTTTAATTAGAGAAAAGATATCTTTTACTGGAAATGAAGTGGTAGCAACAAGAGGATTCTGAATCTGAGGAAATAGGCGCGTAAATCACATATACAAAGTGATGGAAATGTTCCCACCCCCAATAGTTCAAATGGTTCTTCCAATTAAAAGTTGTGAATATCATCATGTGGACATCTTCAGGTGGTGATGAAGTTTCTGTCAGTTGACCTTGGCATACTTTGATAAAGGTTTGCAGCTGCGCAGAGAAGAAAAAGCTAAGCAAGAAATACAAACCTAAGCAAGAATGTACTCTTCCCCCCTCCTCAGTTTATACAATACTGGTTTGAATCACCTCCAGCTCGCTTCCCATACTTTTCTCCCCTCCCCCCCCCCATTACTTATGGCAGCCGAAAGATGCAAAGCAAAGGTAGAAAATCTTGAAGGCTGACACCCTGTTTGGGAGAAGAGGAGTCTGAGATCCACAAGATTTCCCAATGAAACACTCTGAGGCTTCCCATGATCCCCATTCTTTAAAGCAGGGGTCCCCAATCTTGGCAACTTTAAGTCTTGTGGACTTCAACTCCCAGAATTCCTCAGCCAGCGGTAACTGCTATGGCAGCATTTCTCACCTTGGCAACTTCTCAGGTGCCTGGACTTCAATTCCCAGAATTTTTAATGCTGACTGAGGAATTCTGGGAGTTGAAGTCCACAAGTCTTAAAAGTTGCCAAGTTTGGGGACCCCTGCTTTAAAGGCAAAATGTGGCCTGTTCTTCCTCAGGGTTTCCCAACCTTGGCAGCTTTAAGATGTTTGGACTCCAACTCCCAGAATTCCCCAGTCAGCATTAAGAATTCTGGGAATTGAAGTCCAGGCACCTGAGGAGTTACCAAGGTGAGAAACGCTGCCACAGCAGTTACTGCTGCTTGAAAGACGGTTTGCCACTCCTGGCCTGAACTGAAGTTCTCAGTTTGCACCCTCTTCCCATTGTAATTTTTAATGTAATAGAAGGTGGTGGGGGGACGGCTATATTTGAATTTGAATTAAACCACATTTTGGTTTGGCTGTAAATGTCAATTAATTCAGTACTGTAGTTGAATTTAGCCATTATTTTATCTTGAATTGATCTATGTTTTGGTGGATTGTTGCTTGTGCTGTCTTTTGCCTAATATAAAGGCTAGAGGCTTCTGATCTATCTGAATTAAAAAAATAACCCACCTAAAAAAGCTTGCCTGGGCAGCGTAGCTAAGTAGAGAAAGGTCTGGTTACTCTTTGGATGGGAGACTGTCAGTGAATTCTGGGGCAGACTGAAAAATCCAAATAATAATCAAGGAGGCATCCCAAAGGTACCTTTTGAAGAGGCAACTGGGCTTTCTGGTTTTTTCCTTGAAGATATTTCGCTTCTCATCCAAGAAGCTTCTTCAGCTCTGACTAGATGGTGGGGAAATGTTCAGTCAGAGCTGAAGAAGCTTCTTGGATGAGAAGCGATACGTCTTCAAAGAAAAAGCAGAAAGTTCAGTTGCCTCTTCAAAAAGCACCCTTGGGACAACCATGACCTGGATGACTGGGAATCTCCATAAATCAAGAAGGCAATGGCCACAGTGGTGCCAAGAATGCTGTACGGGTGTGCATGAAATCTCTAGGAGTTGAATTCAGCTTGAAGGTGGCTTGATCTTTTTGCTAGATTTCAGATCTTTTTCACACTGGTTTTCTTCCCTGCTCTTGCTAGAGATACCTGAGAATTCCAAACAGGCTAGATCAAGGGTCTTTAAACTTGGCAAGTTTTAAAACTTACGGACTTCAACTCCCAGAATTCTACAGCCAGCTATTCTGGCTGAGAATTCTGGGAGTTGAAGTCCACAAGTCTTAAAGCTGTCAAGTTTGAAGACCCCTGGGCTAGATTCGCACACAGCTTGATTGATTTGTGTGTGTGTGTTGTTTTTTTCTTCTGCTTCAGATCTTGAAGGAGACAACTGTGTTTTTGATGGGACTATTTATCGAAGTGGTGAGACCTTCCAGCCCAACTGTAAATACCACTGTACCTGCAGGGATGGACAGATCAGCTGTGTGCCCCTCTGCAAAGTTGATTTGTTGCTTCCTGGCCCCAAATGCCCCTTCCCAAGGAAAGTGGAAGTCCCCAAGGAATGCTGTGAACAGTGGTCATGTGATCCTAAAACAGAGGACGCTGCAGACTTTGCAATGGAAGGTGTGTAAAGGTTTGTAGAGTAGTGTCTTTGCTTCTTCAGAGGCATCTGCTGTGCTCTTGTGACTCTTCTAAATAGATAAGTTGTGACTTATCTATTTTTTTATTACTCTTTTTCGCATTTTACAAATCTTCATCTTAACATTAACGGTACAGTGACATCATTATTACATATACCAATCTCATATAAATATATACATTGATATACATTTGTCTATAATTTTCTTATCTCCTTTATTCTTATTTCTATTGTTCAACCATTTGTACCAATTGTCCCAAACTTCGTAATACTCTGACTCTTTTTTATCCTTTAATTTTAACGTAAGTTAAAATTACAGCACCATTTCAGCACAATCTAAAAAAATTTGAATTACTAATTCCTCTGAGGGCGTGTTATTTTATTTCCAACATTATGCGAATGCTATCCTTGTTGCTGTCAATATGTATAATAGAATATATTTAATCTTTTTACTGTATTTCCCTTTAATTATTCTCAACAAGAACGTTTCCAGTTTAAACTCTATCTGATTTTCCACTATTTCTTGTAACCAACTCCATATTTTGGTCCAGTACTTTTGAGTTTCTGGGCATAACCACCACATATGGTAGAAAGTACCCTTGGTTCTGTTTGCATTTGTTGTGACTTATCAAAGCCAGTCATGGAGGGGCACAATTCTTGGGAATTTATGGCAGATAAGAACATACATATCGGGTGAGATGCTACTGCTTCTGCCCAGCTCTATAGAACCGGTAGCTCTGAAGAGCAGCGGACAAGAGTACGCGCGCACAAAACATAGTCACCGAACCGGTAGTAACACTGGTTGAATCCCACCATTGATAGATATCTATCTCAGTGCATTTGGAGTCTCGGTAGTGCAATGGTTAGAGTGCAGTACTGCAAGTTACTCCTGCTGCAATTTGGCAGATCGAATCCCACCAGGCTCAAGGTTGACTCAGCCTTCCATCCTTCTGAGGTGGGTAAAATGAGGACCCAGATTGTTGGGGGTGATATGCTGACTCTGTAAACTGCTTAGAGAGGGCTGTAAAGCACTGTGAAGCGGTAGATAAGTCTAAGTGCTATGACTATTGCTATTTGATTTTGTTTCATGTAGTATTACAGATCTCAGATCTCTTACAGAAGAAATGAAGAGTAGGAGAGCTTAATTCCTTGCAGGAAGTTGATCTAAAAGAGTAGAATGGATATGGAAGCCCTAGGAGCCGTTCAAAGTTTGTTTCTAATCCTTGACTTACAACAGTTTATTTAGTGACCATTGGCAGTTACAACGGCACTGAAAAAAGTGACTTACTATATAACCAGTTTTTCACATGATCATCCAAATTGAGACTTTTGGCAATTGGCTCATATTTATGACAGTTAAAGTTTTCTGGCATCACGTGATTCCCCTTTTGGGATCTTCTGACAAGCAGAGTCAATGGGGAAACCAAATTCACTTAACCATATTACAGGAAATCCTCGACTTAACAACTGTTTGTTTAGTGACTGTTCAAAGTTACAACTTCACTGGGAAAAAAAATGACTTATGACCACTTCTCACACATAAGACCATTGTGGCCTCCCCATGGACATGGGATCAAAATTCAGACGCTTGGGCAAGTGACTCATATTTATGACGGTTGCAGTGTCCTGGAGTCATGCGATCTCCTTTTGTGATTTTCTGGCAAACAAAGTCAATGGGGAAGCCAGATTCACTGTAACATCCTTGTTACTAAAGTAACAACTGCAACGATTCACTTAACAAATGCGGCAAGAAAGGTCATAAAATGGGGCAAAATCCACTTAACAAATATCCCGCTTAGCAACAGAAATTTTGGGTCATAAGTCGAGGGCTGCCTGTGCTAATTTAACAACTGCAGTGACTCACTTAAGAACTAGCAAGAAAGGTCATAAAATAAGGCAAAACTCACTTAACTGTTTTGCTTAGCCATAGGTCATGTTTCGGTCAGTTTTGGTCATAAGTCAAGGACTATCTGTATTGAAAGGGACATTGTTCCCTATTACTTGCATTTAATACCCAATCACGTTAAGTTGTTTTTTCTTCTTCTTCTCTTCCTCTTCCTCTTCCTCTCCTCCTCCTCCTCCTCCTCCTCCTCCTCCTCCTCCTCCTCCTCTTCCTCCTCCTGATTCACATTTCTTTGTCCTGGCCCTAAATTATTTTTAGAGTACACTTCTTGGCACATTATTCAAGGACCAAGTAAGGCCTTCAGCCTTAAAATGGTTGTGCCTCTCTGGACTGTATTGGAAAAGTCACTATGCATGCTATGGGAGACTGGAGAAATCTTGCTTATGTTGGCTTCCTTCTCAGCATGGCAAAACAACCTTAAATCAAATGTTCAGTTTTTAAGATGGCTCTGATTAAATATAATGCTTAAAATATAATGCTTAAATATGCTTAAAAGCCATGTGGAATTAGTCATCCAAGACCAGGATTTGTTTTTAGTTCTGTGCCACCAGATTCTGCCACTCATAAAACTTCCGATTTAAATCTTACAGCATAAGATTCATGTGAAATCAGTGTGATATTGTTAAAAACCTTCTAGTATTGTGGGAAAGACTTAACTTAAAAGCTTTCTTCTCCCCCCCCCCCCCCCCCATGTCCTGTAATAAGGAATGACATTAGAGGCAGTTTGGTATAGTGGTTAGGGCAGTAGGCTAAAAACTGGGAGACCATGTCACCTTCAGCATGGATGATTGTGGGCCAGCCCCTTCCTCTCAGCCCTAAAAAAAAGGCAATGGCAAACTACTTCTGAAATCTCCTTAAGGAAACTACAGGGGTTCAATCAATCACAAGACGTCAAGATTGACTCAAAAGACACCTAAAAGAAAATAGGCATTTAATGAAATTGCTTTATGGCTATCGATACAAAACAGTCAGATGTGGCACACATGGATATACATTCCAACTTTATAACAACCAAAGGCCAGAAACAGAAAATAAATGAAAGTTCCTTGGTGTTCTTTGAGCTTGGTTCTAAGCTCAAGGACTCTTCATTTCAACCCTGAGCTACAAATACAAGTGGCCCTCAACTTATGACCACAATTGAGCCCAAAATGTATGTTGCCGAGTGAAAAATTTGTTGAGATTTGCCCCACTTTACGACTTCTCTCACCACATTTGTTAAGTGAATCACAGCAGTTCTTAAATTAGTAACACGGTTGTTAAATGAAACTGGTTTCCCCATTGACTTTGCTTGTCAGAAGGTCGCAAAAGGTGATCCCAAGACCCCGGGACATTGCAAGCGTCATAAATGTGAGTCAGTTGTCAAGCATCAGAATGTATATCATGTGACCATGCTGCAAAGGTCGTAAGTGTGAAAAATGACCATAAGTCATTTTTTCAGTGTTGTAACTTCGAAGCAGTAAGGATACTGGGTAACTTTTGACAACTGCATTGGACGAACAGAAGTGTCATACCCCTGTTGGAGTCTGAATCTGAGGAAAAAGATGAATAGCTGACAGGGAGTGGGAGTGGGGCTCCGTTGGCTGCGGAGGAAACTGGGGAAGGGCAAAGTCCGGCTGGGCAGAGCAGGAGAGAGGTAGAACAAGGGAGAGGTAGAATAAGGGAGAGGGAGTTCAGAGTAAGACCCAGGCCCACCCCCTCTTCATCCTAGGGCATGCAGGGATGAACGGAGAAGAGAGCAATGTGGGTTGCATGGCTTACAGGGGAGGAAAGGGCCCTGATTCCCTTCATTAAGCACATCTGGGAATGAGAGTTTTTAAAAGATGCAAGCTGAGAGCGGCGTTTGCTGGGAACAAACGTGAGCTTATCTTGTGTTGACTGTGCTTATCTGCGTTCCTGGAATCTCCCAACCAGGTTGATTTACTGTCGTTCCTTCACGTCTGCAATTCCTTCTCTTGCCCTGCCGGATTAATTACCTCATCTTGCCTTGAGTTGGACTTATAGTTAAAGTTTTTGTTGATAACATTTTGGACTTGAATCTCTGCAGCCAAAGACTGTTCCTGGGAGACTTTTTCTCCAGACCAGAAGGTAACCAGGACATTGGGGGCAAAGTTGGAGGTAATAAAGGGACTCCTACTGATTATCTGACTGTGTTGCCTTTGGGCCACGCCCCGGATCATCACAAGTAGACATTTATGGAACATGAAAACTGATGCCTTGAAGCTTTTAATTCTTAAGGTTGTGAGGAGAAATTTGAAAAGCAACATTGAATCTGTGAATCCTGGAGGGACAAGCACTGGGCCATAGTTGAACAATTAGGAGGGTCAATCGTAGGATTGAAATGAAATTGAGAATTATTTTAAAGTTATGTTCGGTCCAAAATTTCTCTTTCTGTGTCATGAAAAATTGCACTTTAGTGGTTTATTTTAAGACTCTGAGAACAATGGTCAAATCTTTGGAGGTCTAGTCATAGCTCTGAAATCTAAAAATATTTATTTTCCTAGCTAAGAAAACAGTGACCAGGAACAGTCTAGCTGTTCCTTTCTTTCACATAAGGCCTTTCTTAAGACAGAATCATTTTTATTCTCCCAAAACTTCAAATAACAATACTGCTAGCAGTATGAATTTTAATTGCTGCTTTTATTTGGTCTCCTGCTTGGGCGGGGAGGAGGGTTGGACTAGATGACCTACAAGATCCCTTCCAACTCTGATTATCTGTTATCTGATTACGGCTTATTTTCAGGGGTGGGATACGACAGGGTTAACTTCCGGTTCGGGATTTACGGGCTTCCATGCACGCTGCAAGCTGCACGCCTGTAAATCGTCATCAGCATGCTGCGTGCAGAGAAGCAGCCTTTGAAACAGCCCTCTTTTCCTGCTTTTTTAACTGCAGCTGTGCCTCGTTCGACAGCTGAAGTTGAAAAATCAGGAAATAAAGATCAGGTAAGAGCCTGGGTGGGCAGATGGGCAAAAACATCAGCAGACATAGAACCAGTTCTATATTTGCTGCTCTTCAGAGCTACCGGTTCTACAGAGGTGGACAGAACTGGTAGAAACCCACCCCTGCTTATTTTTATCCTGTATAAATATTTACATGATGTTTTCATGTGTGCTTTTATTTTTATTTTTTACTTTTCTTTAATGGCTGGTATTAATTATACATTGCTGTGAAGTTTTGCAAGTAGCTAATGTTATACAGGTAGTCCTTGACTTACAACAGTTCATTTAGTGACCGTTTTGAAGTTACAACGGCACTGAAAAAAGTGATTTATGACCGTTTTTCACACATCCCCATACAGTCAAGATTCGGATGTTTAGCAATTGACTCATAGTTATGATGCTTGCCATGTCCCGGGGTCATGCGATCCCCTTTTGCGACCTTCTGACAAGCAAAGCCAATGGGGAAGTGAGATGCACTTTACTATGCATGTTACTAACTTAACAGTTGCAATGATTCACTTAATGACTGTGATTCACTTAATGACTGTGTCCAAAAAAGGTCATAAAGTGAGGCAAAATTCTCTTAGCGGCTGTCTCGCTTAGCAACCGAAATTTGGGGCTCCATTGTGGTCATAAGTCAAGGGCTATCTTTATATAACATTAAGTTTAGCCTATTAAAGGAATGCAGCCCTTCAGTGTCTATATTAGATTGACTACAAATCTACCTTGAGTATAGATTTGGGACCTCCCAGTCAAGGTTATCCTTGCTATATTACAAAATGCATCATTTTTTGAAAGTCATTTTTTAAAATTACAGTTTACTCATATGGAAATATTTATAGACTTCCTCTTGATCCTAAGCTACCCAAGGCAGCAAACTAAACAAATATTTAATCAATGTGGTGTACAAAAGAGAAGACAATAAACACCTTGAGGAAGAGAAATGAGTTGTCCACCCTTACATCAATGAACATTCAGAAGAGAAAATAACATAACAGCTGGAAACTAAATGTAATGTTTCTATTTCCCTGGTTAGTTTTCTCCTCCGCAGTAAATTCTTATTTTATCATCTTCATCCACCTCATGTCTTTTGATGGTGACTTATAAGGTAGTCCTCCACTTATGACCATTTGTTTAGCGACTGAAGTTACAACAGCACTGAAAAAATGACTTACAACAGGTCTTCACAATTACAATTGTTGCAGCATCCATGCGCTCAAATTTGGGCGTTGGCAACCAGCATATAGTCATGACAGTTGTAGCATCCTGGAGCCACACGATCACCGTTTGCAAACTTCCATGGGAGCTTCTGACAAAATCGGGGGGGGGGGGGGCAAGGTTTGCTTAAACAGATGCGTGATTTGCTTAACAACCATGGGGAAAAGGTCATAGCAGTGAGCACTTAATGACCACATTGCTTAGTGATGCAAGTTTTATTGTCAACTGTTGTTCTACGTCAAGGAGCACTTGTATGTGGTAGTTTTGGACTGGGCCATGTTGGAAGAAGATGGCATTTCAGATATCCTATTACAGTGGTGGCTAACCTTTTTGGGCTCCTGTGCCAAAAATTGTGTGCGCGCTAGCACGCTCGCATTCGCATGCCAGCACCCAGAAGGCAATGCGCCCCCCCCCACATCCCCTGCGCATGTGCGCACAATCACCCACCCACCCCACCTCTCTGCCCCCTTACCTGCACTGCGCCTCACAGCTGATTTTCGGCCGGTTTGAGGCCTTTTTCGGCCTCTCAAAGGCTTGAGGAAGGTTCTGCAGGCTTCTACAAACTTGTAGGCCGAAATGTAGCCCCGTTTCGTCACTTCCGGTTTTTCCGAAAAAAACAGAAATGACGAAACGGAGCTAGATTTCGGCCTACAATGCTTGTAGAAGCCTGCAGAAGCCTTCCTTAAGCCTTTGGGAGGCCGAAAAAGGCCTCAAACCAGCCAAAAATCAGCTGTGAGGCACACACATGTGCAGTGAAATAAGTTTGCCTGCAGCTCGCGAGCCGGCACAAATGTCTCTAGGTTCACCATCATGGTCCTATTATTTTCCTGCTTTTTTAGTAACCTAGAACAGGGGTGTCAAACTTGATTTCTTTGAGGGCCGAATCAGCATTGTAATTCTCCTCTGTGGGCTGGCAGGGAGAACGGGAGGAGATGGGACAGATGCCTCCTGCAGCACCCTGCCAGCCAAAATGGGCTTGCCCCCTGCCCAAATCTTATTTTTAGCCTCCTGCAGCACTTTCCTGGCCGAAAATGGGACTCACAGAAGCCTTATGAGGCCCCGCATGGCCCATTTTTGGCTCCCCGGCCTGCAGCAGCACACTGCTGGTCAAAAATGGGCGACACAGGGGCCTCCACAAAGCCCTTGTGTGCAGAGGTACTGCAGGCTGGTCCTTTGATATTTCCAGGCCAGCCCTACAAACCAGATTTAAAACACCCTGCAGGATAGATCCAGCCTGCAGGCCTTGAGTTTGACACCCCTGTCCTAGAACTTTACAAATGACAGCAACTTAAATTAGACCCAGAAATAGATTGAAACTACAATGTGATTCACGTGCAGTAGGACCAGTATAATACGTTTCCTCGGGTGGCCCTTATGGCTGAATTTGTTTGGAGTTTTGTGTAAAAATTATAGTCTTCGTCTCCACTCGGAAGATTGAGAATTCAATCCTAGGCAGCAACAGATGTTTTTCTATGGGGGTGCAAAGAGAAAATATCTGCTGTGAACTCCGCACAGGCATCAGGAAGGGCTTCCGGCCTATAAACGCTCAGCTCCATTCTTCCCCCGAGTCAAAGGGATTACAGGCTGATTTTAAAAAAGTGTTTAGTAGCCTGCAGGACATGATTGAGCAACGCACTGATAGCCAATGATATCCTTTCCAGTTTGCAGCTAATATCTTAATCTTTTCCTGTGTGAGAACCTCTGGGCAACTGAGCAGTTCACTGTGGCGATTTTGCCTTCAGGATTCAGACAGGAAGCTACCTCGAGGACTGAAGGTTCCGACTCCAGTTCTAACTGCATTGAGCAGACAACGGAATGGAGTGCCTGTTCTACCAGCTGTGGCATGGGAGCCTCCACCAGAGTCACCAACAGGAACCCAATGTGTGAGATGGTGAAAGAGATGAGGCTATGTGAAGTGCGCCCCTGTGAAAAGAGTCCACTACCTGATAAGGTATGGCTTACAGCATGTCCAAGTGATAGTGCTAATCTGTATTAATTTTGGAGAGAAGAGCACATAGAACTTTGGCTTGGAGGTAAAGGTTGAGAGGGTTATCAGGTTCCTTCTTTCAATTATATTTTACCAACCCTGTTTGTGAGTGTACTGGGTGTCTTAGATTGAGCCACTAGGGGAAATATTCTGGACTAGATTAGGGTCTCCAAACTTGGCAACTTTAAGACTTCAACTCTGACAATTCTGGCTAAGCAATTCCAGAAGTTGAAGCCCACAAGTTGTAAAGTTGCCATGTTTGGAGACCCATGGACTAGATCAGTGGTTCCCAAACTTTTTCAGTCCACCACCCCCTTGGTGCTACAAACTCATCCTCAGTGCCCCCCACCCAGGGGTGGGATTCAAATTTCTTAACAACTGGTTCTGTGGGCATGGCCTAATTTGTGAGTGTGGCTTGGTGGTCATGTGACCAGGTGGGCGTGGCCAGGTGGCCATGTGACTGGCAAACCAAATGCAAGTGGTTCTCGCTTAATGGCTGGTTGCTTAGCAAGTGTTCTGATTTATGACTGACCTCCCCAGAGCTACTTGACCTGTTTTTGGAATTTTGACAGTCATGCGCGCGCGCACACACACACACACACATACACACACACACACACACCCTTCTAGCCCCTTCTCCCTCCCTCCCTTTTTTCTTTCTTTCTGTCCCTTCCTTCCATCCTCCCCTCTTTCTTTGTCTATCCCTTTTCTCCCTTTCTACCTTTTTCTTTCACTTTTCTCTTTCTTTTCTTTCTTGTCTCTTCTCTCTTTCTCTTTCCCTCTTTTTCTCTCTCTCTCTCTCCCTCCCTCCCTCCATATCCCATTCACTTTCTCCTCCCCCTCTCTTTCTTTCTCTTTCCCTCTCTTTCATTTTTCTCTTTCTCTTTCTCTCTTTCCCTCTCTTTCTTTCTGTCCCTTCCTTCCATCCCCCCTCTTTCTTTGTCTATTCCTTTTCTTCCTTTCTCTTCCTTTCTCCCTTTTTCTTTCTTTTCTTTTTTGTCTGTTCCTTCTCTTTCCCTCTTTCTCTCTTTCCCCCCTTCTCTCTTTCTTTTCTCTCTCTCTCTTTCTCTCTCTCTTTCTCTCTATCCCTCCCTCTCTATCCCTTCCCTAACCTACCTACCTATTTTCTGCCCAGGCAGGCATGGCCTAATATGTCAAAGGCCTGGGCTAATCCTGCATCACCCCATTTCCCCTTTCAGAGGCCCCGGCCCTTAATCTCCCTGTTTCTTCCCCCACGACCCCCTCTTTCGTCATCCCACAGCCGTGACTTTACCTTCCTCCTGCAGCTGGCTGCCAGGGAAGGCAAGCCAGGGCTGAGCCATTGTTGTCACTGGACTCCCTGCCAGCCCATGTCACCCTTGTCACAAATGCCTCCAGCCGCCGCGTCTTTTTTTCGGTGCGGCTGCAGTGCCGCATTCCAGGCGCTGGCCCCGCAGGTCCACCCCATTGAGCCCGCTGCACCGGAGGGAGTTGCCCAAGCAAGTCCAAGCGGAGTGGTGCAGCAGTCAACGGGGTGAGCCTGCATGGCCGGCGCCTAGAGTACGGCGGCAGTGGCACTTTGGAGAAGTGGAGGATAGCCAGAGGTCAGTAATTTTTGCTGCAAAAAGCCTGCAGACGCCGCATGGGTTTTTTTGGTGCCTGGATGACTGAGAATCTCCATAAACATTTTCTGCACAGATTTCTTAATTTTGCATCCTTGCCCAGACGGTCTGACTTCCATCCTAACCCAAAAAGCATTACAAGTGGCCTCCAGCCATTGAAATAATACCCGTTCCATCTTAATGTATCACGGCTATGTTGCACCAAATTGAATGTGAGTGTCCACCTAATTAATGTTCTGCGCTTCCTCGTAGAAGGGGAAAAAATGCCTCCGAACTATAAAGCCTCCCACAGCTACCCATCTGGCGTACCAGAACTGCACCAGCATCCAGATGTATAAACCCCGTTACTGTGGCATCTGCAACGATGGACGGTGCTGCACGCCACACACGACAAAAACAATCCAGGTGGAATTCCGTTGTCCTCAAGGCAACACCATCCAACACCCTGTGATGTCCATTATTAGCTGTGTGTGTCACAAGAACTGTCCTCAGAATAGCAACACTTTTGTGCGAAAGCTCAGTTGAATGAGCCGCTCAAAAATCACCAGACTAGCCTTCTTCAAACTTGACAGCTTTAAGATTTGTGGACTTCAACTCCCAGAATTCCTCCTCCAGTCATGTTAGCGCAAGAATTCTGGGAGTTGAAGCCCACAAGTCTTAAACTTGCCATGTTTGAAGACCCTTGCTTTAGTAATATGTATCTTCTCTATTTGTGGGGCGGGGCGGAAGAGTCAGACGCTTTGATTTCCGATCCCATCTGTCTATCATTTGATTTCTAGATAACCCAGTTCAGTTCCTGTGGAATTTTTTTTTTTTGGAAATCGTGCTTCAAACAATGTTGCCTCTTTAAAATATTGTCACTTGGGGTCTATGCACCTTTTCCTTCCTTGGCTGCATGTAGTACCCTGTCATAAGTCACATTCCCTGGACTAATTGTTTGAACTAAATGGGCGAAAGATGCTTGTAATCTAGTATGCTTTCTCGCTTTGATGTTTATTACAGCCAGGAATTGGACACATCCGAGTTGAAATCCTCACTACCAACAGGAAAAGTGTTACTTGTGTCAGCCATTAAAAACATACTGAGTGCAAAATTCTTTGCTCATTTTTCTCCCACAAATTAAAACATTCCTCTCTATTTTTGTCCCTTCTTTTGCCATTCTTTTCCTGAAGTTTGTGTTCTCTTCTTTGTCTCATCTTGGCTTCAGCAGATGCTAAGTCCTGATTTTGGCAAATGGTCCCAGAAGCAGAGGGACGCGGTGGCTCGGTGGCTAAGACGCTGACCTTGTCAGTCAGTTGGGAGGTTCGAATCCCTAGCACTGCGTAACGGAGTGAGCTCCCGTTACTTGTCCCAGCTTTTGCCAACCTAGCAGTTCGAAAGCAAGTAAAAATGCAAGTAGAAAAATAGGGACCAATTTGATGGGAAGGTAACAGCGTTCTGGGCACCTTTGGTATTTAATCATGCTGGCCACATGACCACAGAGATGTCTTCGGACAGCGCTGGCTCTTTGGCTTTGAAACTGAGATGAGCACCACCCCCTAGAGCCGGAAACTACTAGCACATATGTGCGAGGGGGACCTTTACCATTACCGTACCAGAACCAGACCTCCCCAATCTGGTGTCTACACATATATGGACTTTTTCTTCTCCAAGTAAACAAATATGGCAACATCCATGTTGGGGGAGGGACATGTCTTCAGCAACTGGGAATGTTTTTATTAGCACTGATAGATTTTAAGGTCACTGTTGGTGATGCCATCCATTTATTTAATCCCTCCTTGGAATTCGCCAATATAAACATAAATATAAATAGTTCAAAAGAATCAGACCCAACAAAAAAGGAGGAGGAATTGCATTGTATGTAACAAATCACTAGACCTCTACAGCAATGCGTAATACCAGAGATGAAAGCCCTCTTGAATCTATTTGGGTAAATATTGGACGAAAAAGAAATAACATTCCTGTCGATTGCCACCCAATCAAGCAGAGAAAATAGATGAACATTTTGTTAATCAGTTAGCTAAGCTATGTGGAAAATACACCACTGCTGTAATGGGGGACATTTAACTACCCTGACTTCCAGTATTTGAGGGGCAGTCTCAGAGAAGAGGGAGTAAACTTAACTCTCCAAAGCATCTGAGGCAGTGGTGGGATTCAAACATTTTTACAACCGGTTCTGTGGGCGTGGCTTGGTGGGTGTGGCAGGGGAAGGTTACTGCAAAATCCCCATTCACTCCCCACCACACTAACCTGCTTTCCAGCTCCGTTCTTCTGTGCAGGGCAACAAAAGAAGATCCAGCCAATCAGCTGGGACTCGGGAGGTGGAGAATGGATGGGGGCGGGGCAAGTCAAAGGTGGCATTTGCCGGTTCTGCGAACCACTCAAAATGGCTGCTACCGGTTCTCCGGAACTGGTCAGAACCTGCTGAATACCACCTCTGACCTGAGGGCAGGACAAGAAGCAATGTGTCAAACTTGTTAAAGAGAGATCCTACGTGGAGCTAAGGAGAAATTACCTGGCGGTGAGAGCAATTAATCAACGGAACAGCTTTCTTTCCAGAGTTGTAGGTGCTCCATCACTACAGGTTTTCAAGAAAAGGTTGGGCTTCCATTTCTCCAGTGTGGTTGGTATAAGATCTCCTGCCTTGGGCAGGGGATTAAACTAGAAGACCTCGAAGGTCCCATCCAGCCCTATGCTTCTAAGTTTTCTTTAAATACTGCACAGAATTATACATCTTTTAGAGACACTACAAAGACAACTTGCCCTGTACAAGGGTGAAGATAAAGTTCTAAATATGGAGACTGGCAAGAGGTCATTGGACGTTGGAGTTATATAGATCCCCCCCTTCCAATATATTTCAGTTGGCTTGGAGGGTCGACACCAGAGGTGGGATTCTACCCAGTTCGGACCAGTTCTATAGAACCAGTTTGTTACAATTCTGTGCAGTTCGGAAAATCGGCAAATCGCACCACTAGCTGGCCCCTCGCCTACCTACCCACCCCACCCAGGAGGCTTACCTGAGGCCCAATGAATACCACATTCAGGGGGTTGGGGGAGGGAGAAGTGGCCTGAGAGCAGAGCTGAACCTTCCTTAGGATTGAAGCTTCTATTTTCAGTGCAGGCTCAGGCAGTAGATTGCAGAAAGATAGATCTGGGAGTGAAGCTGTGATTCTGCAAGCAGCTCAATCTGCCTGCCTGCTTTGCCTGATTTTGGGTAAAAGTTGCTCTTTAAAAAAAAAAAAATCAGTCTTTACATATATACACTGCTCAAAAAAATAAAGGGAACACAAAAATAAGACATCCTAGATCTGAATGAATGAAATATTCTTATACTTTATTCATTACATAGTTGAATGTGCTGACAACAAAATCACACAAAAATTATCAATGGAAATCAAATTTAGCAACCCATGGAGGTCTGGATTTGGAGTTACACTCAAAATTAAAGTGAAAAAAACACTGCAGGCTGATCCAATTGTGATGTAATGTCCTTAAAACAAATCAAAATGAGGCTCAGTAGTGTGTGTGGCCTCCACGTGCCTGTATGACCTCCCTACAATGCCTGGGCATGCTCCTGATCAGGTGGCAGATGGTCTCCTGAGGGATCCCCTCCCACACCTGGACTAAAGCATCCCCCACCTCCTGGACAGTCTGTGGTGCAACATGGCGTTGGTGGATGGAATGAGACATGATGTCCCAGATATGCTCAATTGGATTCAGGTCTGGGGAACGGGCGGGCCAGTCCATAGCATCAATGCCTTCGTTTTGCAGGAACTGCTGACACACTCCAGCCACATGAGGTCTAGCATTGTCTTGCATTAGGAGGAACCCAGGGCCAACCTCACCAGCATATGGTTTCACAAGGGGTCTGAGGATCTCATCTCGGTACCTAATGGCAGTCAGGCTACCTCTGGCGAGCACATGGAGGGCTGTGCAGCCCCCTAAAGAAATGCCACCCCACACCATTACTGACCCACTGCCCAACCGGTCATGCTGGAGGATGTTGCAGGCAGCAAAACGTTCTCCATGGCGTCTCCAGACCCTGTCACGTCTGTCACATGCGCTCAGTGTGAACCTGCTTTCATCTGTGAAGAGCACAGGACACCAGTGGTGAATTTGCCAATCTCGGTGTTCTCTGGTAAATGCCAAATGTCCTGCACGGTGTTGGGCTTTAAGCACAACCCCTACCTGTGGATGTCGGGCCCTCATATCACCCTCATGGAGTCTGTTTCTGACCACTTGAGCAGCCACATGAACATTTGTGGACCACTGGAGGTCATTTTGCAGGGCTCTGGCAGTGCTCCTCCTGTCCCTCCTTGCAGAGGTAGCGGTCCTGATGCTAGGTTGTTGCCCTCCTACGGCTTCCTCCACGTCTCCTGATGTACTGGCCTGTCTCCTGGTAGCGCCTCCATGCTCTGGACACTACGCTGACAGACACAGCAAACCTTCTTGCCACAGCTCGCATTGATGTGCCATCCTGGATGAGCTGCACTACCCGAGCCATTGTGTGGGTTGTAGACTCCGTCTCATGCTACCACTAGAGTGAAAGTACCGCCAGCAATCCAAAGTGACCAAACCATCAGCCAGAAAGCATAGGAACTGAGAAGTGGTCTGTGGTCACCACCTGCAGAACCACTCCTTTATTGGGGATGTCTTGCTAACTGCCTATGCTTTCCACCTGTTGTCTATCTATTCCATTTGCACAACAGCATGTGAAATTGATTGTCAATCAGTGTTGCTACCTAAGTGGACAGTTTGATTTCACAGAAGTGTGATTGACTTGGAGTTACATTGTGTTGTTTAAGTGTTCCCTTTATTTTTTTTGAGCAGTGTATTTACAATATTTACATACAAGCTACGCCCAGCCAGTCACATGACCACCAAGCCACACCCACAAATTAGGCCATGTCCACAGAACTGGTTGTTAATAAATTTGAATCCCACCTCTGGTCAACACTCAATTTTCTACAGTCAGATTTAGTATTCGGTTTGCATACAGTCTATCAAAGGCCAGCTGGCTTTTGTGCTAAGGGGGAAAGCAAACACTGTAAATCAGGGGTCCCCAACCACCGGTCCGCGGACCGCTACCGGGCCGCAGAACAAGTCCTACCGGGCCGCTGGTTGCTGGGCGCCGCCATCTTTTTTTGATGAAAAAGTGCTTCCGGTGAGCTTTTCCGGGTAGAAAGCTCACCGGAAACACTTTTTCATCAAAAAAAGATGGCGGCGCCAGCGCTTCCGGTGAGCTTTTCCGGGTAGAAAGCCATTTCTACCCGGAAAAGCTCACCGGAAACGCTGGCGCTGCCATCTTTTTTGATGAAAAAGTGCTTCCGGTGAGGTCACCGGAAGCACTTTTTCATCAAAAAAAGATGGCGGCGCCCAGCTGATGCCGGTACCGGGCCGCGGCATAAAAACGGTTGGGGATCACTGCTGTAAATAACTCAAGAAGGCCTGGGCTTTTTTAGAAACAATAAATGTAAATAAAAAGCATACATTATATAACCCTCTCCTGCCCCCGTGAATATTGATATTACTAAAGAAAATCTCTCAACATAA